GTCTGTGAAGAAGGTATTCAAGTAAGAATTGCATTGTAGTATGACTCATTTCCTGGCGCGTACAATTTATATTAGATCAGCGTTCACGGTTCGACTTCTGATATTCAGATCGAGTTCTAGGTCAAACTGGTTTGTTCGACTTTCAAGAAAATCGAGTTCTAGTGAGTTCGAGAACCGAGGTACCACTGTATTTGTAGCTGCCATGTATTTTTGACACGACCACTAGCACACCTGATATGGCTAATCAAAATCCCACTGATGTTTTGATTGTTGAAATATCCACATGAGAAACACAAAATTAGTTTATAGTGTGCCAGAAATGTGCATCGTTTCAAACTTTAAAATGCCAGCTTTGAGTTGGCAGGTCTTATAATATCAAAAGTGATGTAAGGCAGTTGTTTCCCAGTCTGGTCCTTAGGAACCCCCCAGGCAGCCCACGTTTTTGCTAGGGAACTGGGAGGGAGCAAAAATGTGGAGCAGCTGGGGGTCCCTGACAACCGAGTTGGGAAACACTGATGTAAGGCAGGGGTGTCAAACTGCAGTCCTGGGGGCCACAGCCCTTTGTAACTTAGTTCTTTCCCTGTTCCACCACAAATGATTCAGCTCAACAGCTATGTGGTAATTAGCACAAGGAGTTGAATCAGGTGTGTTAAACGAGAGGAAACCCAAAAATGTGCAGGGCTCCGGCCCCCCAGGACTGGAGTCTGACACCTGTGATGTAAGGTATAAATCTTGTTCGGCACTTTGTGCCCCTAGCGTTGTTTGATCTAGCCGTGCCCAAGAAGAAATTAAGGGAGGAGAAGAGAAAGAAGAAGATCCGCACCATTAAAATGGAACCAGAGGAGCCATGTGATGTGCTGATGCCTTCTGAGGGCCCCCCCCCGAGTCACACCGCTGCTGCCGCCATTCCAGAGGCCCCTCTCCACCCCCCCGGGGTCAAAGAAGAGTGAGTTCACTCCGCAGCCCTTTCTCGCTTTGCGTTGCTTCTTCGGTGCCTCACATCCTCATCAGGAGTTTTTCTGTTTGTGGTGAAGAAACTGGTCAGTGCAGATAAATCATTTTGTTAGGGAAGCTTTGATTTCCTGTATTTTTGTGATGCCGATGGGGTATGATGGCTTCCTGGTTGCATATATCATTAACATTAGCTATAGTCAGAAAATCATACCTAGTTAGCTGGGTAACAGAATATTCTAATTTAGCATCTCATAAATAAGGATCATATTTGTTTATTATTTAGTGTAGTGAATGTTTGTGGCCGAAAGTGCCCCCCTAAAACCTCAAGGCCTCATGTGTGGTTTGAGTGTTGATAAACACCACTGAGCATCTGGTCTCTGTTCCTTCCAAGAACTATTTGGGAAGACTGCCCTTCTGTCTAGTCACATCCCACTAATTCTAGGCACATGGTTATTTAAGAATGTCCCCTTTGTACATGCTTCCACTCCAGTGGATACACTGAGGGCTCTTTGTTAGTTCATTCATTTTTGTGTATTCTTCACATGGAATTGAATGTTAACGCTAATCGTTTTTAGCGGGTGATACGATGGCTCTGTGGATCGCAGTTTTGCCTCATGCCTCCCAGGTTAGAGAGATTTGAATCGTGTCTCCCAGGTCAGAGGGATTCGAATCATGACTCCCAGGTTGTGAGAGATTAGAGTCACGCCTCCCAGGTTGTGAGAGATTAGAGTCACGCCTCCCAGGTTGTGAGAGATTAGAGTCACGCCTCCCAGGTTGTGAGAGATTAGAGTCACCCCACTGCTTTGTTCTTCAGTTCACATTCTCACCCTTTGTCATGCAGGTTTCCTTCGAGTTATATGGTTTTCTACTGTAGTCCACAGGCATACAGTCAACTGGCATCTCTAAACTGCCCATAATATGTGTCTGTCTGTATGTGTGTGTGTATCTGTATGTGTGTGTGTATCTGTATATGTGTGTGTATCTGTATGTGTGTGTGTGAGAGAGAGAGCATGTGTCTGTGTCTCTGTCTGTATCTTTGTGTCCGTCCGTATCTATGTTTCTTTTTGTGTGTGTGTGTCAGTCTGTATCTGTGTGAGCGTGTGTCTGTATCTGTCTGTATCTGTCTGTATCTGTCTGTATCTGTATCTTTGTGTGTGTGTGTGTGTGTGTGTGTGTGTGTGTGTGTGTGCGCGTGCCCGTGTGCGCGTATGCGTGTGTGTTCGTTCCCTGTGATGGACTGACATCCCCAGCCTTGTGCCTTATGCTGTCTTAGATTGGCCCCTGTCTGCATCGGTGAGTCTTTCTGGAATCCTCCGTGACAGTTTCCCATGTCTCCTCCCTTTCCTTGCCGCTCAGACCTTTGGAAGATGCGCAGGATAGCCCTGCTGTGGTGGAGGAGATCGCCGTCAGCTACTTCAACCTGCTGGAGGAGATCCTGAAGATGGAGGGCCAGGCTACCACCAGCATGGTATGTACTCACGGACCGCCCCTCCAGCAAACAGGTACAGGCGTGCCATTTTATACATCTACCAGTTTGAACCAGACAGTCCAGTCTGGAATGTTTATAGCATTATCTAGCATACTGCACGTGATTGCTTGGTATGTAGCTTGGGTGTAAAATATATAAACAAGTGCGTAACTGTCTTCTGATTCAGCTGGAAGAGAAAGTACAGCAATGGCAAGTTTTGCCAGCCAGCACGCTCAACCCCTGGTTCTCAACTGCCCCCTGCTGGTCGGAGTTGGTTCTGCCCGCCCTTCAGTTTCTGGCAGGAGAAAGCAGAGGTGAATATGCCTTGCCCTCTTATTTATTGGTAACACTTTAGCTGAGGGGGCACAAATACTTAGTAGTAACTCAGTCACTGCTGAAGTACAAATCATGAACAAGTATAGTGGCTACTTGAGATGAAAGATTGATTGATTATTGATAAATAAACATGAGATCAGTATTTCACTTGTGTTATTCATGACTTCGCAAAGGTTCACATAATTAAGATTAATAGTAACAAATATAGTAACTGCTTGAGATAAAAATGTTTAATAATGAATAAACATGAGATCAGTATTTCACTTCTTATTCATGACTTGTTCCTTCAGTAGTTGACAAAGGTTTACAGAATTAACAGATGCAGTAACAAATATAGTAACTGTGAATGAAAAATGTATCACAATTCATTAATGATGAATTAACATGAGGTCGCTATGTAACTAAGACTTAGTTTGTGGTTAGTTAATACATAAGTAATAGCATAATATTTCACCTCAAGTAAAGTGTTACTGATTTACTTGTTTGCAAAAGTAGGGGATCTATGGTCTCAGACGGATCTCTCATGATTCCACCCCCCAGCAGGTGTGATGACCCTCCCCAGTGGCTTCTCCCCCCTTGTGGAGTTCAGGGAGCGAACGCAGCAGTGGAGGTGGATGAGTGAGTAACCTTAGCCGCGAGCTCCGTGCCGGCACTCTGAACTCTGCTGGAGATGCGCATCTCGTGCGGCAAGCCCCTCGTAAACCCCCTCCTTTCGGTTTGTAGGTTTGAAGCCCTTTGTGTGTTTGATGATGGGAGATACTTGTGCAGCCTGGGTTTAAGGAGCAAAAACAGCTGCAGAAAGGATGCAGTAATTCACATAGTGATAAATGCTGAGTACACACAGTGTGTGTGTGTGTGCGTGCGTGCGTGCGTGCGTATGTGTGTGCGTGCGTGTGTGTGTGTGTGTGTGTGTGTAATAAAAAATGTATACAATAAAATCAGTCACTCGGGTTTATCATATTCTGAGATCTCTTAATGTGTCGTGCAACCATTGTTTACTTAATTAAACAAGTAATGCGGGTGAATGCCCTGATATGTAAGCCAGTTCTTGGAAGTCATCAGAGGATTTTCAAAGCAGCAATTGTTAGATGGCGGAAAAAAACACTTTGCGCAGTTGTTTGTGGAATAACTTACGGCCCACCCATGCGAAAAACCGGTCCTCCCAGTAAGTCAGCATTCATTTTGTTGGAAAGTGGAGAAACTGCGGGGGTGTTGCAGCGTGCTGGTGTGATTTGCAGCGTCTTACATTATGTACAGCATGTGCTTTTGTGATGAGATGCGGTGAAACTTTAGACTTTGTGCAATAAAAAAAAATCAGCCTGTGTCTTTAGGCTTATAAGCGCTGCATTTAGCTGTGAAGGGCACATAGATCTGCATCTATGGTCTCAGACAGATCTCTCATGATTCCACCCCCCAGCAGGTGTGATGATCCTCCCCAGTGGCTTCTCCCCCCTTGTGGAGTTCAGGGAGCGAACGCAGCAGAATACAGTGCATTAGAATTTATGCAAATAAACAGTAACGCAGTATTTAAAAAGTGACAAGAATTTCTTCTGGAACTGATGTCCTGTAGGGTGACTGGAAGAGCACCGGCTTGGGTTTCAAATCTCTTCTCAACAGGTTGCTTAATTAATTGACTTTGTCAACTTGATGCGATATTGATCAGCCTTACCAGGTGTACTAGTGGTTAAGTCAGCAAATACATGGGTGTATTGGACGGTTACTGGGGTGACTTTAGGAGAGGGTTTGACGTGGCTAAGCTGACACACTTTGACAGACATAGTTTTACAGCCAACGAAGATGATCAATTTTATTGGCAGCCTAAGACTTTTGCACAGTACTGTATCTGAGCTGCACTATTGCCATATGTGTAAAATGTGATGGATTCTAGTCGTCCTGACCAGGCTGCCGCCTTTCCCTTTATCTTCTGATTCCTGAAGGCCCCACCTCAGACGGCGAGAAGGACTTGAGTGCTCTTTGCCAGCTCTGGCTTGAAAACAAGGACCAGGTGGTTGTCAAGGTAACTGTGGAATCAGAACCAGTGCGGGCATTTCATGCTCTGATGCGTGTGTGTGTATGACGTGGCGATGCCTTTTTGCAGCAGGAGAGTGAGGAACCCGCCGAGCTGACCCCCCCCACACCCAGAGTGTAAGTGCAGACCCTCATCGACTCGCCCCGGGGTCAGTCAACTCGGGTACTAATCGTTTATTCTCCTCCATACAGGTGGACGGACTACGTAGTGAGGCCAAGCACTGGGGAGGAGAGACGCGTCTTTCAGGAGCAGGTCTGGACCCCCGTTTAGTGCCGCCTCGGGATTCGGGGATCATGGTCTAGCTTTTGATCAATAGATGGACAAATTGTTGCCAACAGCAACAACGTCGAATATACACCAGTGCCCTCATAAGGTGAATAGTGCAATTACAAAATGAAAGACTATCAACAGAGGATCAGAAGAGAGAAAGACTTAAAATAGAAGTGCATGACACATGTACGGTATTCAGGAAGCATGGGGAATAGGTGGCCAGTAGCAGAAATCTGGAACTTCTGGTCCTATCCCAATTTCTAGATGACATCAGTAAAGAAATTCATAGATGGGGTTATGAGAAGAGTGTCGTTTGTCAGACGGGTGTGGAGAATGACACCTGTGGATTCTCAGGGAATCGTCTTGCATGCCGGGGGCATGATGCGTCACCCAAGCGCACTGTTAATTGTGTCATACAGGACTTGTGCGCTTAATGGAGTGTGTCATCTCCTAGACAATGCTGTAGGGCACGTGGTACAATGGCCGCAGTAGTGTCTCACACCTCTAACGTGCAGTTTCTGTCGTCCGTCACTAACCCCTCCCCTGCTCCTTGTCGCCCCAGGAGCAGCAGCGCTATGACCAGCCGCACAAGGCATTCACATTCCGCATGCATGGCTTCGAGTCGGTGGTGGGGCCCGTCAAGGGGGTCTTCGACAAGGAGACATCTCTCAATAAGGCCCGCGAGCACTCCCTGTTGCGCTCAGACCGTCCGGCCTACGTGACCATCCTGTCACTTGGTAAAGCTGATCGCTGCCTTGGCATGTTGTGCTAGTGGGTTTTCTCCTGCAGTCTAGTCTGAATGTGAATTCTTGATTTGGCGTCTTTAAAATGGACGCCGTCTGTATGATTGTGTTCTGCTTTTCATAGGATAACCTGAAGGCTCTCCACAACCCTGTAAATATGACTACAGTCATGCATCGCTTAACCACAGGGATACGTTCTAAGAACTGTGTCATTAGGCAATTTCATCATTGTGCAAACATCATAGAGCAGGGGTCTCCAACTCCGGGCTTGGAGAACTACCATCCAGCAGGTTTTCTATCCTACCCGGCTTCTGATGAGCCACACCTGTTCTCAGGTAAATACCAGGAGCAGATGTGGCTCATCAGAAGCCAAGTGGGACAGAAAACCTACTGGATAGTAGCTCTCCAGGACCGGAGTTGGAGACCCCTGTCATAGAGTGTGCTTACACAAACTTACTACAGATGGTATTGTCTACTACACACCTAGGCTACAATGAACTTTTTTTATAAGTAGGAAGAGTACACTCTAAAATAACAATAAAAATACTGTATAATAAAGACTTGAACGAGTAATGTTGTTGCTTATCATTATCAAGTATTATATACTGATAATTATATATACAGTATATATACTGTGTATAATTGTACTTTGCTATACGTTATGTGACTGGTGGTGCAGTGGGTTTGTTTCTATCTGCGTCGCCACAAACACGTGCGTAATGCATCGTGCTACGGCGTCACAAATGCGATGACATCCCTAGAGCAGGGATGTCAAACTCCAGTCCTGGGGGGCCAGAGCCCTGCACATTTGTTTCCCCTCATTTAACACGCCTGATTCAACTCCTTCTGCTAATTATCACACAGTTCTTGAGCTGAATCATTTATGGTGGAACAGGGAAAGATCTAAGTTACACAGGGCTCCGGCACCCCAGGACTGGAGTTTGACACCCCTGCCCTAGGCAATAGGAATTATTCAGCTCCATTATAATCTTAAGGGACCAGCGTCATATATGCGATCCATCTTTGATCAAAATGTAGTTACGCAACACATGACTGTGTCCAAAACTATAACCAGTATATCTACATTTTTTTCCTTTATCTGACTGAAATCCACAGCGAGAGAAGCCCTACATGTCAACCATTACATTGTTCTTGTTGAGCCACAGTTGTGGTTAATATGAATAGTTACATGTATTTGCTGCTATCCTTGGGTATCTAAATGCTCCCCCACCCCCCCAGTGCGGGACGCAGCCGCCAGGCTTCCCAACGGGGAGGGCACTCGGGCCGAGATCTGCGAGCTGCTGAAAGATTCCCAGTTCCTCGCCCCTGATGTCACCAGCGCTCAGGTGAAAGAGAGAGAGACTCTGGACGTCGTTTGTTTTCGCGTTAATGGCCAGACTGAGTCACTTGCATAGATCACATTTCAGGACTAAATTGTCCCCAAAGTGTAGTAAAACCTGAAATTTCCCTACTCTTGGGGACATCTTTTGAGGTCCCTATTTGGATAACCTCAGTTTTATAAAAAAAAAATCTGTGAATGCAATCAAAAAAGTAAAAATGCCAAAAGTCTATTTGGGTTGGTTACTTATGGTTAAGGTTAGGGATGGGTCGGGGTTAAGAGTGTTGTGATTTGGATTAGGGTTTTTCCCATAGAATTAATGGACGGTCCCCATTTAGATGGGTACACCAACTTGTGTGTGTGTGTGTTTTTCTGATGCACATCAGCGGCATTTTTTGCGGCCCCCTGCAGGTCAACACAGTAGTGAGCGGCGCCCTTGATCGGCTGCACTACGAGAAGGATCCCTGCGTCAAGTATGACATCGGCCGCAAGCTGTGGATCTACCTGCACCGCAACCGGAGCCAGGAGGAGTTTGGTGAGGCACCACTGTTCCCTGTTGTACTTCTCTGTCATAACCTTGCGCCTGAGGACGTCGTAAATGAGGGAAAACAAAAGACCACCAAGCACTGAGGCGCATGGCACGTGCATGGTGTGTTGTCTTGTTGAACTTGTCATGGTGAAAAGGAGAAGCAGTTGTCTAATTTGGGACATGAGCCAACGTTCCTCATGCTCCGACTGCTGCAGTACTCATCATCGTTTTGCGCTTCGTCTGGCCGAGTCGCTAATAAAGGAAACCGCTCTCTCCCGCCGCAGAGCGGATCCACCAAGCGCAGGCAGCGGCCGCCAAAGCGAAGAAAGCCCTGCAGCAGAAGCCCAAACCTGCGCCCAAGCCGGTGAGTCCGCGGGATTCGGCGCCAGGCGTTCACCTCGCAGGGAATGCGCTGTCATCGGCGCAGATGCGACCTAGAGGATTTGTGTTGTGCAGGGATTAACCGTAATTAATTACATTAAAAATGAAATGTACTCTGTGTAAGTTATCCAGACAGATTAAAATAGTTTAATAATAATAATGATTTGAAGGTACTGCGTAAGTGAAATTATTATGAAAGTATTTTAACCGATTGAATTGTTTCGTGTTTTCTAAGAGTTTATTCATTATGTCGTTACGTCATGTGATTTTTTTTAACCTTTTCGTTTTATTAAAATTAATAATGGGAGTTGTATATTTACAATCATGACTCATGGATGTCTGATTGATGTGCCCCCCCCCCCCCCCCCCCCCCCC